TCAATATAATTTGTTGAAAGAAATGCATAGCATTACATGAAAAGTTAGAACATAGTTTTTTACTATCCGACTGTTTCGTGGTACTGGTGAGAGACGACTATGCAAGGTTTTTTTTGTATTACTAAAATTTACCTTTCCCAGAGGCGTTAACTCTTGAATGTTTCACAATGCTGATGAGTCGTCTCCGCGAGAATTTCCCTCAAAGAAGCGGCATGGACCTTTGCCTTATGAATCTTCGTTCTCTTATTCAGGTGAGCAAATGCGCCCTGAATAAGCTGTAGCCAACTCATTGTGCTTTTTCAGGTCGTTGATCCGCAAATCTTTTCCTTGCTGACTTCGACTTCGGACTTTACTCATCTGTATTTCAGTTACCGTTGGTTCCTTCTGGATTTCAAGCGAGGTGTGCGACTGTTACAATTATTTATTAGAGTTTGTGCAAGAGCATAAAATTATATATGCAGCGTCCACCTTTACGAATTATTGAAGGAAAAAGAATAAAATCCGTGACACATACCAACTTTCGTGCTTAACCGGTTTTGATTGACATTTTCAAATTCGTCCCATATTCCACAGATAAGATGTGGGATTTCCTTTCTTGAGGTTTTCAGATCTTAAAATTCTGTAACTCATAATTTTTGGAGTCTTAAACATCACAAACCCTTACTCCATATGTCTGCAATTTCGCTCTGCTAGCAATGCCTTTTATCTGACAGTATAGCTGTGAATACGCTTCGCTTTCAGAACTATCATACGACTGCATTTTCCGAGTTTGGGAAGCAATATGGGCTGCATCCAGGACATTCACTCCTCATTTCCCATTATTTTTCGCACTTGCGATGATCACAAACTATCGCGATGTGATCATCGGCAACAATATGGATTTTACAGATATGATCAAATTCTTCAATGGTGAGTGCAATTCCATTCCAAATAAAGGTTCAGTTCTGGTCAAGACAACGTTTTTCTCTTACAGAGATGGCAGAACGTCACGACTGCACTCGACTTCTTGCAGCTGCACGATCTCATGTA